ATAAATTATAAAAACGAATTTCAGGATTTTGTTTCTCACACTGAATATACATTTTGCTATTTTATGCTTAATTTTGCATTTCATGCAATAAGACTCTGTCTCTGGAGCAGATAGATAATTTCAGGCCAAAGCAAGCATGTGGTGGGTATTGATTTGGAGCTGGAAGAGAGAGGGCAGAGATCATAGCAACATTAAACAGTGCTTGGGTTCACTTTGCCATTCACTCAGACACACAATTTCTCACAAAACCCTGAGAGATAGTAAGGCTTTAGCAGTGCTATAACCATCATACCATACCCATTTTATAGGCGAAGAAACTCAGGCTAAGAGAGACTAGCTGGTCCAGATTTGCTCCATAGCTAAAACTGGTAGGGCAGGGAGTTGAACCTAGAAGTTTCTCTTCTGCCAAAACGTCTTTTCATTGAGCTATGCAGCTCCTTCCCAGTCCCTGGCTCTTCTCAAGTCTCTCTGGGTCTGCTGATCAGGCAGCCATGAAGATCTGTCTACCTAGGAAATCGGACAGCCAAGTGATTCACCTACATGATCCCATCATCCCATGGCTGATTGGGCTATAACCCTCCCTCCCTCCCTTCCTTCCTTCCTTCCTTCCTTCCTTCCTTCCTTCCTTCCTTCCTTCCTTCTTTTCTTCCTTCCCTTTCTTCCTTTCTTTTTTATTATTTTGAAAAAAAAATTAACTTTTCCCCCAAATATTATTCAAAATATGTGTTTTGCAGACAAGGGTCAATGTGGGTCATAAACATCCTATAGAAGGAGGCATTTTATAGACATTGGAAATAATTCCAATAAAAGAAAACACTCGATGTCTCTAGATGTGGCTGTTACCCAGGAAGATTCAGCATCCAAAGTGCAAAGACAAAATGACTGTGGCTTATCTTGCCACACAAAATATTGAAACTCTCCCCCATCGCCTGCTCTTAATTGTTAGTTGGGATGCAAAATAGACAGCATGCTGCCCCCTAGAGTTCCAACAGACAGGCAGGACTCAAGCATAAGAATAAATTCTTAAGAACAAACTGGCTTTGACCCCAACCAAATCCAAAGTCCAGCCAGAGGCCCATTAGAGATAAATACAAGAGTAGTGTCACTTTCTTTAAATACATTTTTATTGATTTCAGAGAGGAAGATAGAGACATAGAAACATCAATGATGAGAGAGAATCATTGATCAGCTGCCTCCTGCACGCCCCCTACAGGGGATCGAGCCCACAATCCAGGCATGTGCCCTGACCGGAATCGAACCCAAAACCTTTCAGTCCGCAGGCCAACGCTCTATCCACCAAGCCAAACCAGCTAGGGCAAGAGTAGTGTCACTTTTACAAGGTTGTGCCACTTAACCTTTTTAAACCTAATCAATCCAAATTAAAGCTAAGCAAACGCCCATCACTAGTTCTGTCCTCACTCTATTCCATTTTTAAGAAGGCTCCATGTTACAGATTCTTTCTTCCTCTCTTTATATTTTTCTTTCTTTTTGCTCTTTGTAGGGATAATAAATATTGTGAATAGTGTACTATCACTCACTTCTATTCATTCATTTAATCAGTATTTGCTGAGCTCATACTTAGCTCACGCTAGGCTCTGTGTTAGGTACTCAGGATGCTATATTTCCCATCCTCTTAGTAAATGGACAGTTACCATGTGATGCTTACAGGTAAGGATGGAAATTAGGGCAGAAAACAGTGGATCATGGGCAGGGTCTTTAGCCCAGGCTCGGAGACCAAGGAAAGAGTTGGTCCAGAAACTGAATTGGGTTGAAAGGCCAGGATATACAGTTAAGAGATAGACATCAAAGAAGGAATGTGGAGGGTGCGGGTGTGTGCTTCACCTGGGAGAAATGAGAACGTGTTATATTCTGGGAAGAGGGAGGGAGGGAAGGTGGAGTTATAGGAGAAGGGGCACAGGAAGAGCAGCAAAGGGTGAGGATTACCTCTTTGCCTCAGACAGGAGGGAGATGGGTACAAATGTTGGTTCACTTAGTCACTTGTCTAGTCTAGTCATATTAACACATTAAATATGTATCGAGCGCTGCGATGTGCCAGCCTTCCAGTGCTAGGTACTGAGGCTATAAAATGGAAAATAATGAATTTAACACATATTTGCTGAGCACCTATGTGCTGTGTACTGCCCTAACAATAATAGCAAGATTATGAGTGTTTATGTGTGCTTTTTGTTTGAAAAAATTTTCATATATTATTTCTTTTAATCATCATAATAGTAGATGTGAATGTTGTCACTATTTCTAGATCAGGAAACTGAAACACAGAGATCAGACAGCTTGCCCAAGGCTGCATCGTTAGTGAGTGGCAGGGACATGCTTGTAAGCTCTGAGCGTAATGTCTCAAGAAGCTGTAGGCCAAGAAAGGGTGGGCAGATCTTCAGAAAAAACAATGAAAACCAGCAGATTTGTACTCATTTATTTTTAAATATCTGTGTTGATTTCAGAGAGGAAGGTACAGGGAGAGAGATAGAAACATAAATGATTGGTTTCCTCCTGCATGCCCCATTCTGGGGATCCAGCCCATGACCTGGGCATGTGCCCTGACTGGGAATCAAGCCCTGACCTCCTGGTTCATAGGTTGACGCTCAACCATGGAGCCACGACAGCCAGGCAAATCAGCAGATTTGTATTTCTGACAATATGACTGACTAGATAAACTGAAAACTCCTCTCCTAGAAAATACTGAGAAATGTAGAAAGTAAGAAGAGCCAGGGACCATGGAGAGAAAGCTGAAAGCCCCAGTGTGGCTGTGGATGCTGTGAAGCTGGAACAGGAAGTGCGGAAGTGTACTTTTGGATTTTGTGCACCGAGCACCGGGCCTCTAGTATGCATATAAGATCTTTGGTTAATCTCTTCTTGCCCCCCATCCCCCTTCCTTCTGAGATTTGTCAGTCTGTTCCATGTTTCCATGCCTCTGATTCTATTTTATTCATCAATTTATTTTGTTCATTCAATTTCTTTTAGTTTATTTTGATTTTTAGATTCAATTGTTGATAGATATGTATTTATTGCTATTTTATTGTTCTTTTTCTTCATCACCTTCTCCTCCCCTCTTCCTCCCCCTGCCCCTCCTCCTTCTTCTCCTTATTATTCAAGAATACCCTTCAGCATTTCATATAATACTGGTTTGGTGTTGATGAATTCCTTTAGCTTTTTCTTATCTGGGAAGCTATCTGACTTTCAATTCTAAATGATAGCTTTGATGGGTAGAGTAATCTTGGTTTTAGGTCCTTGCTATTCATAACTTTGAGTATTTGTTGCCACTCCCTTTTGGTCTGAATAGTTTCTGTTGAGAAATCAGATGACAGTTGTATGGACACTCTCTTGTAGGTAATTAACTGCTTTTCTCTTGCTGCTTTTAAGATTCTCTCTTTGTATTTAACCCTTGGCATTTTAATTATGATGTGTCTTGGTATGGGCCTCTTTGGGGTTTTCTTGTTTGGGGTTCTCTGTGCTTCCTGGACTTGTAAGTCTATTTCTTTCACCAGGTCGTGGAAGTTTTCTGTCATTATTTCTTCAAATAGGTTTTCAATATCTTGCTCTCACTCTTCTCCTTCTGGAACCCACATGATATGCATGTTGGTATGTTTGAAGTTGTCCCAAAGGCTTCTTACACTATCTTCATATTTTTGGATTCTTTTTTCTTTTTGCTCTTCTGATTGGGTGTTTTTTGCTTCATATTCCATTCATATTTGATTCTCAGAATCCTCTACCCTACTATTGAATCCCTGTAAATTATTCTCTATTTCAGTTAGTGTATGCTTAATTTCTGAGTGGTCCTTTTTCGTGTCTTTGACATTCTCACTAAGATCTTTGAAAGTCTTACTAAGTCCCTTGATACTCTCATTAATTCCCTTGAAGCTCTCATTAAGTCCCTTGAAGCTTTCATTAAAATCTTTGATTAACTTTATAACCATTGTTTTGAACTCTGTATCCCCACCTGTGCAAGTAGTTTGCTTGCTTCCATTTCTTTCATTTATGACATGTTTCTTTGTCTCTGCATTTTAGCTGCTTCCCTGTGTTTCTATGTATTAGGTAGAGCTGCTATGTCTCCTGGAATTGGTAGAGTGGCCTTGTGTATTAGGTGTCCTGTAAGGCCCAGTAGCCTACTCTCCCCAGCCACTTGGGCAGGGAACTCTAGGTACACCCTTGTGTGGGCTGTGTGCACAGTCTTGTTGTAGTTGAGCTTGGTTGCTGTTGGCATCACTGAGAGGAATTGACCCCCAGGCCAATTGGCTGTGAGGACCAGCTGTGTCTACAATGGAAGAGCTGCTATGCAGGAGATAGGAACAGGATTTGCTTCAATGGGGTTTTGGTGCTCTCTGAGTCTGCCCCTTGAGTGCGTCACTTGTGGATGCATAGAGTTGTGATCTGGTATGGTCTGAAGCTTCCCACTGGCTCTGGGCCTCCTGGGAGGTGCAAAGTCAGTCATTGCTTGGGGCCACTTGGTAGGAGCCTCAGAGGGTCCTGCAGACAGCTGCTATTTGCTACTTGTATTGGGCTATGAAGTGCCCAGGTGAAGTCCAGCTGTGACGCAAGGCAGGCTGGTGCTAGTGCCAGGTCTTGGGTCTCTTATTGATAGGTTTGGGGTACGCTGACTCCAGTTGCTGCTTGTTTAAAACTTTTTAGGAAAGTCTGAAGCCTGAGCCAGGACAGACCATCTATATGGAAAAGCTGCTGCAAATGGCTTGCGTGGGTCTGTAAAGTGGATGTGTGGGGTCTCAGGGAATCACCAGGGCAGTGCAAATAGTGTGGGCCATGATGGTGGAAACTCAGATATGGCTGCCAGTCAGCTCTGTGATGGGGGAGGTCCAAGCACAAGAAAAATGTCTCCTGCGAACACCCCTGTCTAGGAGAAAGCTTGCCCTGAGTTCCTGCCCCGATGCCAGACCTTCCAGTTCCTCCCCGAATGTCCCTGAAATCACCCAAAGCTGCCACCTAGGGCTGGAGCTCAAAGAAAGTGATATCGTGTAAGTTTGTGGGCCGGCCCTTTAAGAAGAACACCTGGGACTACAGCAGCCTCTGTCACTCAGCTACAATCCCCACTGGTTTTTACAGCCCAAGGTTACAGGGACTTCTTTTCCCAGCTCTGGAGCCCTGGGCTGAGGGTCTGGTGTGTGGCTGGGACCGCCTGCTTCTCACAGGAGGCCTTGGAGATTGGTAGAGTGGCCTTGTGTATTAGGTGTCCTGTAGGGCCCAGTAGCCCAGTCTCCCCAGCCACTTTGGCTGGGCACTCTAGGTACACCCCTGTGTGTATGCACAGACCCTCCTGATTTAAAAAATGCCACACATGGGTGCCGGTCCAACCCATTCTGCACCTCTGCCCATCCTACCAGTATCAATGTGCTTTCTTCTTTGCTTCTGTAGTTATAGGACTTCCATTCAGTCAGATTTCAGGTGGTTCTGAATGATAGTTGTTCTGTATTTTAGTTGTAAGTTTGATGTGGTTGTGGTTTTCTATGTTGCCATCTTGGTTCTCCAGAAACACTGGACTTAAACAATACATTAGAAAAGACGGACTTAACAGGCAGTTACAGAACAATCCATCCAGCAGCAGCAGAATACACATTCTTCTCAAATACACATGGAACAAACTCCAGGATAGACCAGGATAGATAGATCACAAAACAAATCTTAATAAATTTGAGAAGATTGGAATGATATAAGCATCGTTTCTGACCACAACGGTATGAAAGTGGAAACTACAAGAACAAAACTGAAAAATTCTTAAGTATGTGAAGATTAAACAACGTACTACTGAACAACAAAATGGGTCAAAGAAGAAATGAAAAGTATCTTCAGACAAATTAAAATGCAAATACAACCTGAGTTGTAACAAAAGCAGTTCTGAGAGGTAAGTTTATAGAGATAAACATTTACATTGAGGAAAAAAAGAAAGATTTCAAATAAAATAACCTTTACACCACGAACTAGACAAAGAATAACAAATTATACCAAGAGTAGTAGAAGGAAGGAAATAATAAAGATCAGAGCAGAAATAAATGAAATAGAGGCTAATAGGACTATAGAAAAGACTTTTCATTACTCTCACCAAGAAAAAATAGAGATGGGACTCAAATAAGATTAGAAATGAAAAAGGTATTATAACTTTCACCACAGATATACAACAAATTATAAGAGACTACTATCAGCAATTATTCAAATTGGACAACCTAAAAGAAATGAATAAATTTCTAGAAACCTACAATTTACCCAGACTGAATCATGAAGAAATAGAAAATTTGAACAGAGTATTGCTAATAAGCAGAATGAAGCAATAATAAAAAAACCTCCCAATAGCCCTAGCTGGTGTGGCTCACTGGTTAAAGTGAAGGCCTACAGACTGAAGGGTCATGGTTTAATTCTGGTCAAGGGCACATACCTCGGTTGCAGGCTCGATCTCAAGCCCTGTTTGGGCGTGTGTGGGAGGCAACCAATAATCGATTTGTCCCTCTCACATAGATATTTCTTTCTCTTTCCCCTTCCCTTCCACTGTCTCTAAAAATCAACAAGTGAGGATTAACAAAAAATGAAACAAGCAAAAATACCTCCCACAAAAGTATGAACCAGAGGGTTTCACTGGTGAATCCTCTCAAATATTTAAAGAACTAGAGGTCCAGTGCATGAAATTCATGCACTCGTGGGAGGGGGGGGTCTCTCAGCCCTGCCTGCTCCCTCTTGCAGTCGGACATCCTTAGCACTTCTGTGGAGGCAGGAGAGGCTCCTGCCACCACTGCTGTGCTGGCCAGCCATGAGCCCGGCTTCTGACTTAGCGGTGCTCCCCCGTGGGTGCACACTGACCACCAGGGGGCAGCTCCTGCATTGAGCATCTGCCCCTTGGTGGTCAGTGCGCATCATAGTGACTGGTCATTCCACCATTTGGTCGATTTGCATATTAGCCTTTTAATATATAGGATACCAATCCTTCACAAAGTCCTCCAAGAAATAGAAAAGGAGGGAATACTCCCAAATCTATTTTATGTGGTCAGCATTACCCTAATACCAAAACCATACTAGGATACCACAAGGAAAGAAAATTACAAGCCAATATTCCTAATGATAATATATGCAAAAATCATCAAACATAATATTAGTAGACTGGATTCAACAGTACATTAAAAGGATAAGACACCATGAACAAGTGATATTTATTCCAAGAATGCAAGGATAACTCATGTCTGCAAATAAATCATTGTGATACATCACATTAACACAATGAAGGACAGATACAGAAAAAGCATTTAGCAAAATTCAACCTCCTTTCATAATGAAAACTCCCAACAAGCTGTGTATAGAAGGAATGTACCTCAAATAATAAAGCCATATAAGGACAAGACCAGTGGCTAAGCATGGTACTCACGGTTGAAAAAGTAAAAACTTTTATTTTTTTACATGTATTTTATTTTTATTGTTGACAAGTATAATGATGTCCCCCATTTCCTGCCCTCCTTTACCCCCTCCACCCAGCCCTTGCCCAACCCCAGGCCTTCACCACACGCTTGTCTGTATCCATGGGCTATGCAAATATGCATGTAAGTTCCTCTTTTCATCCTGCCACCCCTCTACCCTCTGAGATCTGTCAGTGTATTCCATGCATCCATGCCTCTGGACCTATTTTATTCATCAGTTTATTTTGCATTGGATTTGACATATAAGTGAGATGACTCTCTGACTGGCTTATTTGCTTAGTGGAATAGTCTTTAGTCCATCCATGCTATTGCAAAGGGTAAGAGATCCTTCCTTTTTACAGCCGTGCAGTATTCCATTGTGTAAATGCACCACAGCCTTTTTATCAACTCATCAACTGATGGGCACTTGGGCTGTTTCCAGATCTTAGCTATTACAAATAACACCACTATGAACATAGGAGTGCATACTTTCTTTGTGATCAATGGAAGCTGCTGTAGGATTCTTAGGATATATTCCCAGAAGTGAGATCTCTGGGTCAAATGGCAGTTCCATTTTTAATTTTTTGAGGAAACTCCATACTGTATTCCATAGTGGCTTCATTCCCACCAGCAGTGCGCTAGGGTTCCCTTTATTCAAAATTCTCACCAGCACTTGTTTTTTGATTTATTGATGGTAGCCATTCTGGCAGGTATGAGGTGATACCTCATTGTGGTTTTAATTTGCATTTCTGTGATAACTAGTGATGTTGAGCATTTTATTTATATCTATTGTCCTTCAGTATGTCCTCTTTGGAAGAGTGTCTGTTCAGGTCCTTTACCCATTTTAAAATTAGAAAGTCTGTCTTCCTGTTGTTGCATTGTATGAGTTTTTATACATTTTGGAAATTAATTTCTGATGTATCATTGGCAAATATGTTCTCCCATACAGTGGGTTCCCCATTTCATATTGATAATGGTCTCTTTTGCTGTGCTGGAGCTTTTTAGTTTGATGTAGCCCATTTATTTACTAGAGGCCCTGTGCATGAAATTTGTGCAGGGGGAGGGGCGGGGGTGTCCCTCAGCCTGGCCTGTACCCTCTCCAATCTGGGACCCCTGCACGATCATGCCTAAACCGGCAGTCAGACATCCCTCTCACAAGCCTGATTGCCTCCTAACCGCTCACCTACCGGCATGATCACCCCCTACAGGCCTGGTCGCCCCCAACCTCCCTCCCATGCTGGCCTGTTCGCCTACAACTGCCCTCCCCTGCTGGCCATCTTGTGACAGCCATATTTTGGTGGCCATCTTGTGGCAGTCATCTTGTGACAGCCATCTTGTGATGACGTGAGGATGGCCATCTTGTGATGACATGAGGGCGTCGCACGAGGGTGCAAGGACCACCTAGACTTTTATTAGTATAGATTATTTCTTTTACCCTAGGACAGCGGTTCTCAACCTGTGGGTCGTGACCCCTTTGGGGCTCGAACGACCCTTTCACAGGGGTCGCCTAAGACCATCGGAAAACACATATATAATTACATATTGTTTTTGTGATTAATCACTATGCTTTAATTATGTTCAATTTGTAACAATGAAATTGGGGGTCACCACAACATGAGGAACTGTATTAAAGGGTCGCAGGATTAGGAAGGTTGAGAACCACTGCCCTAGGAGATGTATCAGTGAATATTCTGCTATGCGAGATGTCAGATATTTTACACCCTATGATTTCTTCTAGGAATTTTATGGTTTCATGACTTACATTTAAATCTTTTATCCATTTTGAGTTTATTTTTATGTATGGTGTAAGTTGGTGGTCTAGTTTCATTGTCTTTTGTATGTATCTGTTCAGTTTTCCCACACGAATTGTTGAAGAGACTGTCTTTACTCCATTGTATATTCTTGCCTCCTTTGTCAAATATTAATTGACCATAATGGCTTGGGTGGTTTTCTGGGGTCTTTATTCTGTTCCATTGATCTATATGCCAGTTCTTGTGCCAATACCAGGCTGTTTTGATTACAGTGGCTTTGTAGTATAGTTTGATATCCAATATTGTGATCCTCCCACTTTGTTCTCCTTTCTCAAGATTGCTGTGGCTACTTAAGTCTCTTTGGCTCCATATAAATTTTTGGAATATTTGTTATAGATCTGTGAAATATGTCATTGGTATTTTAATAGTGATTGTGTTGAATCTGTAGATTTCTTGGGGTGGTTTAGACATTTTAATGATGTTAACTCTTCCAATCCATGAACATGGTATATGCTTCCACTTATTTGTATCTTCCTCTACCTCTTTTTAAAATGTTCCATAGTTTTCTGAGTACAAGTCTTTTCTCTCCTTGGTTAAGTTTATTCCTAGGTATCTTACTTTGTTTTTGTTGCATTGGTAAATGGAATTTTTTAAAGTTTTTCTTTCTGAGAGTTTATTGTTGTATTAAAATGCTATTAGTTTCTGCATGTTAATTTTGTATTCTGCCACGTCGCTGAAGTCACTTATTAAATCTCGTAGTTCTTGGTGGAGTACCTGGTAGGTAGCAGACACTCACCACATGTGTGCGAGATAAATGCATGAGGACTTCCTTAAAACTTCCCTCTACACAAGGAAGGGTTTGGTTTATCTTGGAATTTTGTGACTCTTTCTATGGAACCACCCACTTCATTGTACAGTCTGTCTCCTCCTCACTCCACTCCTCACCTCATCTCCACAGATGCCTTTCAAGGCCAAGGGCTTAGTCTTATTTACCTGTGACTTCCCACCACAATGAGCACTTCTGGTTTATGTCTGGAGCATAATAAGATTTTGTCACATCACTTACCTCTTAGGGTTGTGGCTGTTTGCTTCTATGGCCATATCTCTTTCTGGACACTTGGAAAGCAAGTGTATCTTATGCTTATCTGTGTACAAAGTGCCTTGCTTAAGATAAGAATTTAAATAAGTATTTTATGAATGAATAAATAAAGGAATGATTAAATGAATCAATGCATTACTTATATCAATTATAAAGTACAAGTTAAGCTCTAAACCAGGGTGGGGAGCCATTTTCCTGCCAAGGGCCATTTGAATATTTATAGCATCATTTGCGGGCCATACACAATTATCAACTTAAAAATTAACCTGCTGTATTTGGTCAAACACTTAATTTACTCACCCCTAATGCCTTGGCAGGGCCAGACCAAATGATTTGTGAGCCTCATACAAGCCTGCAGGACGGTGTTCCCCACCCCCGCAGAGGAGTCGCCCAGACAGTAAGTGCTTTGGGTGTTGAAGATTCAAAATCACCATAGGCTGGACAGTCCACAGTTGCCTGAGGCAGGTGGGCATGGGCATGAGAATGGAGCATAGTGTAGGCAGGATTTGGATGTGGATGAAGAAGAGCTGAGAGCTCTCCAGGAAGAGCAGACCACCTGGGAAAGAGACACGTGTAGGGGGCGTGCTTTATGCAGTGTCGTAAGGACTCCTAGAGAATTTAGGAGAATGTGAGCATGGAAAGTCATGGAGAGGCCAGGCAGGTGAAGTTGCCCTGGGGAGTAGCTGGGTTAGTGCAGGAGGGATGGAGACGGGAAACAGGGTAAGGGTATTGCAGAAGCGAGGCAGGGGAACAGGGAGAGAGCAGTGGACAGGAGGGAACTCCAAAGACCCTCAGTGATGGAACTGATCGGATGGCTGAGGGAGGGGGAGATGCAGGACAGTTCTGAGCTGATTGCATTGGGGGAACTGGTGCTACTACCTGACACTGGGGAATCAGAGAGAGCCCCCGTTTTATGAAAAGAGGATGGGTTACACTGAGGTCATGCAGTTTGGAAGGACCTTCAGGGGGCCTTTCTCTTTAACAGCCATAAATAGGAGTCTGACGCTTGGTTTGGAGCTGTCTGCAAAGATCCGATAGTTGAGAATTAATTCTACAATGGAGAA